ATATGAGTAATTTGAAAAAGCAAAGCAAAGGAGAGATGATAGGGTACAAGGAGGTAGACTTGGAGGAAGGGCAGTGGGGGAAAAGAACCAAAACATAATCCAGAGATAGATCACATATACTAATAAAATTTTATATATAGTGATTATATATAATAAAATTATATAGTGATATCTATCACATATACTAATAAAATTTTTTAAATAAAAATGTCAGACTTAGTAGCTGAAACACTAAGCATCTATTGTCTCAGAGTTGTTTGGGTTTTTCAGCAGTTCAGGCTGGTCTTGAAGTCACTATGTAGCCCACACTGGCCTCAAATTTGTGGTGATCCTCCTTCCTCAGCCTCCTTAGTGCTGGGATTATAGGCATGCACCACCAAGGCCAGTGATTGCCTCAGTTTTTATAGGTCAAGAATTCAGGAGCAGGGGCTGGAGGTTTAGCTCAGAGGCATAAGCGCCTGCTTTGCAAGCAGGCAGTCCTGAGTTCGATCCCCAGTACCGATAAAAAGGAAAGAGACAAAAAAAAAAAAAAAATTCAGAAGCAGGCAGAATGCAGTGGTACTGGTCTATAATCCCAGCACTTGGGAGCTGAGGCAGTAAATTCACAAATTCAAGGCCAATCTGGATTATACAGAAAGACCCTGTCTCAAAAACAAAGCAAAGAATCTAGGAGCAGTTCAGCCAATGGCTCCGGCTCCAGGTCTCCCCAAGGCTGCTGTCAAAGTGTGAGTCAGGACTATGGTCACCAGAGGCTTCCGTGAGCTGGAGGAACTGCTTCCAGGATCTGCTCACGTGGCTGTCAGTTGGAGCCTCAGCTACTACAGATCTCCCAATAAAGCCTCAGAAGGAAGCTGAAGATCCACTTATGTTCAAGGGGGATCAGAGCTAGAAATAAAAGCTTATTGCATCCAAATAGAAATATAGAACATGATTTCACAAAAGCAAATGTCTCAGACTGATTTGCTTTTAAGTAAAATTCTGATATTTTTACTCATCATAGATTAAAACTGATGTTGACACTTGAAAATATGAAATTAAGAAAGGGATGTGGTAATGCGTACCAGTACATCCAGCATCAGAGAGCAGGAGTTTCAGACCAGCCTTAGCAACACAGGAAAACCAACTCTCGAAAACTTTAAAAATAGCCAGGTGTGCTTACACTTGTAGTCTCAGTTACTCAGAAGGCTGAGGCAAGAGGATAGAAACCCTAAGGCCAGTCCGTGCAACTCAGGGAGATATTACTTCAAAATAAAATGCTGAAAAGGTCTAAGAATATAGCTCAATGGCTGGGGATTTAGCTTAGCAGCATGAGCACCTGCCTGGCAAGTGCAAGGTCATAAATTTGAGCCCCAGTACCAAAAAAAAAAAAAAATCTTAAAAAAAAAAAAAAAAAATAATGGGCTGGCTTTAGCCCAGCGGTTCCTTCCAGTCTGGCTTCCCAATGACCCGGGCCGATTGGTCCGGTGGTTGGAGACCCGCGGGCGCTCTCCAGTCCTTTTAAAAAAAAAAGAAGAATGTAGATCAATTGTCAGACCGCTTGCCTAGCATGTGAGAAGCCCTGGGTTTAATTACCAGTACTGCTAAGATAATAATAATAGCAATAATAATAGCGATACATTGAATAAAATATAAAAATGTTATCTGAATTACTGAGCCTTTCAGTGCCTTTAAATTGTGCTTCTGGGCAGAGTGGTTTGGGGGCAGGGCATTTACCTAGTATGTAGGAAACTCTCTTGTTGGCCCTCATCCCTGTACACACATGCACACCCATGCACACAAATAGCACCTCACCCATCTATCCAATCCTCAGGGAGAGCAGAAGGCCAAGCTTGGCCAGTGACACGGCCAGAAAATGGGAAAGACAAGCTTGGGAGAGCACATTCACAAAAGGAGGCGTCGTCCACAGGGACATCACAGGAGATGGGAGCTCGCTCACTTCCTATGATGTGGCCACAGTGCTGTGGTCTCTTCTTCACCTGTCAGAAGCTGGAGGCAATGCAACACTTGCTGAAGTCAGCCTCAGTCAGACTTTGCACCTAGGCCTCCTGCCTCCAGGGGGCTGAAGCCCTGACCAAAGGGCAGAGCCTCTGCCAGCCAAAGGGTTTTCAAGGACAGACCCCCAGATGGTGTGCCTTCTCCTCAAAAGAATCAAAGCTGGAAACTCACAAGTTTCCGGCCCCAAGTCTCTGTGCTGTATCCACGTACTGAGGGCTCCTTGCCATCACATGCGTTCGATTTCTACCTCCTGCCCCATCAGGATGGAGCCTCTGAGAAAGAAACCAAGGCCAAACACAGATTAAGGTTGTTCAAGGTCATACAGCCTCACTGAAATATTTGGCCTTGCTGGAGTTTGAACCCAGACCCCCTTAGGCTATACCCTCAGCATGTTAATCTCATAGGTAAACAACCTCTGAATCCTAGAGAGAAGGCTATTTCTGGGGAGCCAGCTAATCTCAGCCACATTCTCTCATTCCTCAATCAACATCCACTGTGCACCTGTTCATCATCAGTGGCAGGTCCCATCCTGGAGAAAGTGTTTAGTAAACATAACGGGGTGATAAGTGTGGTAGGCCTGGATAACACTCTGTTAATGTGGATTCTCATTAGCTTCCCAGTGGGAAGACCCAAAGCTCCATTCCTCGGGATATAGGCCCTTTCACAACGGTGGGACAGGTGTGGCCTTGCCATCAGCCAAGCTCTAGGGTTGCCAGTAGCCTGGCAGTGAGTCCCTGACACAATCCTGGCAGGCCTGGCTCTACTCTTCTTTCTTTGCTGGAGGGTTGTGCCACAGCCTGGACTGCAAAGCCAGTGTTATCCTTGCAACCTCAGGACACTGGCCAGACTGTCTGTGTCCTTTGCAGCTCGGGGCATGAAAGGAAGAACAGCCTAAAAGAAAGAAGTCGGGGGTGTCAGGGACTGTGACCCTGAGACTCCCAGCAGGCACAGGGCTGCTGTGCCCAGCAGAGGCCTCCCCCAGGCTTCCAGTTGGCTGTTTCCAAGAGGCCCCAGAGCCTGCTCTCAGTTCCTGAACCACTCTGGCCAGGCCAGAGCTCTGCTGCCACTGCATAAGTCAGTGATCTTGTACTGCTCTGTGCCTTAGTTTCTACACTAGAGCAGGACGAGGGCAATCACCCCTTCTTTGGGAGATGTTTAAATCAGCTAGTACTTGTATTTTTGCAGTGCTAGGATGGAACCCAGGGTCTGGCACATGCTAAAGGAACACTCTGCCACTGAACCACACCCCCAAGACGCAAGATAATTTGTTTTGTTCCTTTTTAATTTTGTTTTGTACCGGAGATCGAACTCATGACTGCCTGCTTGCAAGGCAGGTGTTTATGCCGCTGAACTAAATCCCCAGCCCCGCAAGGTAATTTGTTTCAGAAGGAAGTGCTACTTGGCTGCATAAGCTACAAACCCACATTCAAAAACCTTTGGAGCATTGCAATGAAAAAGCATTCATAAGAGAGATCTTAAATTGTCAAGTGCTGTCCAAAAATAGAAGACTGTTACTGGTAAGAATTGTGTGAGGTCTCTCAGGATCTCCCCACCCCTGCCTAGTGGGGGAAAGTCTTAAAACAATGCCAGTGTTATTTACCTGAGGGCCGGGGGTTTAGCTCAGCGGCACAAGTACCTGCCTAGCAAGCATGAGGTTATGAGTTCAATTGCCAGTACAAAAAAAAAAAAAAAAAAAAATATATATATATATATATATATATACACATATATATATATATATTACTTGAATCCCATAAAATGAGGCAGCCAGATGTGGTGGAACTAACCTATAATCCCAGCACTCAGAAAGCTGAGGCAGGAGTTCAATGGCAGCATGGGCTACATGAGCTCAAGCCCACCCTGAACTGCCCAGTGATACCCTGTCTCAAAAAAAAGACAAAGCATAAAAACCTGAATAGAGCCAGATGTGGTGGTATACACCTGGAACCTCAGCATTCAGGTGGACGAGGCAGAAAGACAGATGCAAGTTTAGTAGCCAATTCACCCATTCCACGAGCCAACAGAAGCCATGCACGGCTGAAGAGGAGTAGCAGGAAGCCATTTTGCTCTACCTGTGAGTGAACAAAGCCAGGCGGGGTCTGGAGAAGCCAATTGGTCCTTGCTGTGAGCCAACCAGCATGCAGGCTGGGAAACAAGAACACCCCCGAACCTATAAGCAACCGGCTAATTTGGAGGACAAGCCTGAGTTGATAGTAAGGGAGGTACCAAAACAACTTAATTCTTGTACTGATTATTGCAGACCTTAAGGCCAGTAGTCTGAGCATAGATTAAGAGGATAACAGTATGCATTATAGCAAATATAGGGAGGTTTCCTTCTGGCTCATTTTTGAAATCCAATACTGTTCTGTTTTGTTTTGCTCTATTTTATTGTTTTGTTTTATCCAATTTCTTTCTTTTTTTTTTTATCCAATTTCTGTTCTGTTTGATTTTATTACATTCGATGTTATGGGCAGCAATTGTGAAGATAACAAGACATTATGGTAGCCATTGATGATTTCCTATTATCCTGTTTTGAAATCTTGCATTACTTTCACTCTTTTGATTGGCTTTATTGTTTTTTTTTTTTATTCTGTTTAAAATATCCTTTCATTACTTTATTTTCATTGGTTTTATTCGGATTTTTTTTTGCTTGAGGGTGTGGACAGCTATTTTGAAGATAAGACATTATTGCAGCCACGTTGATTTCTTATTATCTTGTTTTGAAATCTCATTATCACTTTCATTGTTTTGTTCTGATTAGCTTTATTTTATTTTGTTTGGTTTTATTCTCTTTAAAATTAAAGGAAAAAAAAGGTACCAGACTGGGGAACACAGCAAGTTCAAGGTCAGCCTGTACTACATAGTAAGACTCTGTCTCAAGGTAACAACATATAAATTCTGAGTAGCCCTATATTTAAAACAATGCTCAAAAAGCTTCCTACAAAGACTTTAGGCCCTGTGGTTTCACGTATCAATTCTAGAAATGACAAAGAAGACAGCTAGAATTGGGTTATTAAATATGAGCCTTTAATATTAATGGTAATACTGGTCATGAGTCCATATGAGACAGGTTACAAGTAAGAATCTATACAGAATTCATTTCTTCTTCCCTTTTACAGGCTTGGCAAATAGCACTGGCTTCATCTGCTCCCTGGCCAGTCCCCTGACGGAAAAGAGCCTGGCTGCGCGCTCCTGCAGCGTGCCTCCACACTTCAGGCCCAGGGCCTGCAGCGCACACTTCAGCTTCTCCAAGCCCAGCAGCTCCAGGTCAGCTGCAGAGCTGAACGCCAGCAGATCCAGACCGTCCTCAGTAAGGCCCTAAGGAAGAAAGGCAAAAGAGACTTAAAACATGATGCTTCTTCTAAATTAAGACTTTGTTCAACTGCTGAATACATTCTATTTTTCAACAAAATATATTTCGACATTTGCCTATCTTTCTTCAAACATTTAAGTGTAAGATTCCAAACTGGATGGGCTGGGGCAGTGCAGGGGATCAAACCCAACCCACCAAGGATGCTAGGCACACATTCTACCCTGACGTCACATCTCCAGCCAGGACAATTCTTATCAGTACTTTTTCATTTTCTGATTTTTCCAGTAAAAAACCTAAACAGTAAAATATACCCAGCCTACCCCAACACTACTACCACAGAAAACAGCAGGAACACAAAACTTTAATTTTAGCAGGGCATGGTAGCACATGCCTGTAATTCCAGTTCTGGGGAAACTGAGGCAAAGGATCCACAAGTTCACGGCCAGTCTGGGCTACATGTTAAGTTCAAAGTCAGCCTGGAATACATAATTTGACCTTGTCTCTAAAGAAAAAAAATAAAACCAAAATAGAAAAAACAAATAAGCTTAGTAAGTTACCCCTGCCTTTTACTCTCTTAATTCCACAATCGCAGAATTTTCTGTTCTATAATTGAACAAGTCCAATTATCAGTTACCACTTATATAATTCAACAAATTCAAATACATATAATAGATTTACAACTGCTCTATCCACTTAGTACTTTTACAGACTTTAACACAAAATAAAATATTTCTAATATGCTGCAAAGAATTAAATGGTATTTTAAATGTATTTTTCAGAGGGCTTATAGGAAGATGGTGGAGCAATAAACAAGTAGTGGGTGTTAGCCTGTGAGACTCAGAATCGCCACTGGAAATAACAACTTGAGGAAGAAACTGAGGCAGGTAGAGCCAAGAGACATAGCAAGAGTTCGAGGGAGAACTGGAGCCAACAGGGAATGAGAAGAGACAGACATTAATTCAAAAAAAGGAGGCATAAACTGCACTTTCTCCCTGACCCCCAGCTCACAGCATGACAGATACAGGTCGGAGAATCTAGAAGCCACCGTGGCAGGAGAGCACACAGGCCTCCATGGATAAACACACCAGTGGAACAGAACAGTAGATGCTATGAGCCACAGCTGCTGGAGAGGGACTCTAGTCCAAGTGTCTGCTTAGCCAGACACTATTTTAGGGAGCATTCAGCCGAAACCAGGACTGAAGAGTGAGGGTTGGCTTCCTCTCAGGGCCCCCGTGACTGAGTAAGGCACAAACTTGGGAGGCATCTGAGGTCAGAAAGCCAAGGTTAGGCTGCCAAGAGATACTCAGTGTGTTGTAGGCTGAGTAACTCAGACCCAAACCCCACAACAGACTCAGCACCCCGCCCTAATCCTCCTGCAAGTGTGCTGAGATCATCCACCACTGATCTGGGTCCTGTCGACCTCATTTTATCTAGCAGAAACAGAAAAGGTAAGTTCTGAAAGAGACACTACTAGAAACACACTGATAAAACAGCTGCTGAAAACTACACACACCACCTGAAGACAATGACACAGAGAAATACCTTTTTCTCTCAAGTTTTCAACTGTGAGGGGCTAGAGATGACCCTCAGTGGTAGAGTGCTTGCCTTGCATGAACAAGGCCCTGAGGTCACTCCCGAGTACTACCAAAAAATACATAAATAAATAAATTTTCAGTTTTCATCTGTGATAAAATGCCTTTTCTGGAAGAAAATGCTCAGGAGAATATACATTGCCCAAGAAAAGAAGAAAAGGTCAGGCCACAAGCCTACAAAGGCTAGGCTAGCCTTACTGTTACGTGTCAATGGGGGTAGTGGTCTCTTAGTTCATCACTGAGACTCCTAGAATGGTCAGAAAACAGAAAGTCATGAAGAATAGGATAGGGGTCATGTGGTGATTTAACACAAAAGTCTGAGTAACACCAGTACTTATTCTTGAGTGGATCAGGAAGGCTTTCTGTCTTACTGCTCAGAAACATCTAGAAGACAAAGAATTACCATTCAAGGCTGTCCTCATCATGGACAATCTCCTGCTCACCCATGAGATTTGGAAGAACTGGCTGGAGAATTCCTATGGCCCTCAGTTGAGCTCCTTGTACCTAATACTAAAAACTTCTTAAGTTTTCCTTCTGAAATAAAGAAAATCCTAAAAACAAACAATTGGAGAGCAGACAAAAAGCCAACTGTTGTTCTCACTTACAGAATGACAATGTTGTCATTTTACAGAACAGTTTTTAGTTCTGAAAATGTTGAGATCTAATGAGCCAGAAGCAGATTCTAGTGGGCTACAGACTCTCCCAAGGATATAAAGAACACCAGAAAGCCCAATTCCTGATGTTTTTTATGGAAGGGGACTTTCCTTCCAAACAATAACCACCTTCCATTTCATCATCCCCTCCTGCAAGCCAAGATGTCAATCTGAATGGTGAGTACAGCATGAAACTATTGTTTCTGGTAAACTAGGCACACTTTATAACTTTTTTGGTGAACACATTAGGAAAATTATTGGTTTTTCTGGTAAATTATGCACATTACAGAACCCATTTTTTATTATGAAAAGGTTTAAAGGGTGGTTTGGGAGGTTTGCAGCGCATTATGGGTATTTCCATTTATTTTTAATGGGGAAAAATAGTCTCAAATGACAACCAACTTGAGTTAAAACTAGCCTTCACAAACAAATTGAGCTTGTAAGTCAAGGGCCCACTATAATTAAAAACTACCGACAACAATGATGAAAAAATCTAGACCCTGATGGATTGACTGCTGAATTCTATAAGGAATTTAGAGAGGATCTAATACCACTACGTGTTAAATTCTTTAATGAAGTTGAAAGGGAAGCAATACTCCCAAAGTCATTCCTGGATGCAAATATTACCCAGATACCAAACCCAGAGAAGGATGTAACCAAAAAAGAAAACTACAGGCCAATCTCCTTAACAAACACAGATGTAAAAAATCCTCAGTAAGATACTGGCAAACAAAATGCATCAAGTCATTAAGATTATATACCACGGGTCTGGGGATTTAGCTCAGCAGCATAACACCTGCCTTGGAAGCAGGCAGTCATGAATTCGATCCCCAGTACTGATAAAAAGGAAAAAAAAAAGATTATATACCATGACCAAGTTGAGTTCATTCAAGGGATATAGGGATGGTTCAATATAGACAAATAAATATAATATACATTAACAGAATCAATATGATCAACCAATGATAAAAACCATATGATCACCTCAATAGATGCAGAAAATGCATTTGACACCCATTCATGATTAAAAAAATACTAAAGAAAATAGGACTAGATAGTCTTTATCTCCATTTGATAAAATCATCTGTGACAAACCAACAGCCAACATCATGGTCAAAACTGACAGCTTTCACTCTAAAAATCAGTAAGAAGACAAAGATGCTATCACCACTTCTGTTCAGTATGCTTCTGGAAACAACCAGAGCAATAGACAAGAGAAAGAAATCAAAGAAATAAGAATGGAAAAGGAAAAATTTAAATTATTATTTGCAGATGACATGATACTTTACATAAAAGACCTCAAACACTTCACCAAAAGAGTCCTAGATGTAATAACCAAATTTAGGTCCAAGGATCAATGGAACAGAAGATGCAGAAACAATTCCAAATACACTTAGCTATCTTATCTTTGACAGAGGCTATACACCTTTACTGGAATAAAGATAGCCTCTAAAAAATGCCACTGGGAAAACTGGCTTTCCATATCCGAAAAATTAAAACTAGACCCTTATCTTTCACCACATACTAAACTAAAATTGAAATGGATCAAAAATCTAAATATTGGACAGAGGCTATAGCTCAGTGGCACAAGTGCCTGTCTGGCAAGCACAAGGTCATGAGTTCGATCCCTGGTTCAAAAAAAAAAAGCCAAAAATCTAAATATTGAAACAGAAATACTAAACCAGATGTGGTGGCACACACCTCTAATTCCAGTATTCAAGAGACAGGCAGGGCAATCACTGGCTAGTCTGGGTTACATAGTGAGTTTAAGGCCAGACTGAATTACACAGCAAGACCCCATCTCAATAAAACAAACAAACAAATAAACGAAACACAATCAGCTGAAAAAGAAAATAGGTAAAATTCAAGACACGGGTGTAGACAAATACTTTATGAACAAAACCCTGATTGCACAAGAAATATTATAAAGAATCAGTGAGTGTGATCTCATCATATTAAGAAGCAACCCACAGTAAGGGAAAAAATTTTAGCAAGTTATTCCTCAACAATTATATCTAGAACATATAAAGAAAAATCAGACTCTTCCCCAAACGTAAAGGCCAGGTCCAAAATTGAAATAAGACATTTCTTGGATGAAAAAGTACAAACAGCAAACAAATACATATAAAAATGTTCAGTATCACTGGTTACTCAAGAAATGCAATTAAAACAACACTGAGATTCCATCGTTCTCCAGAAAGAATGGCTATCATCAAGAAATCAATTTAAAAAATGCTGGCAGGGCTGTGGGGAAAAAGGAACTTTTCTCAGCTCTTGGTGTGAGTATCAACTGATACGACCAATATGGAAATCAGTATGGCAATTCCTCAAAAAATTAAAACTAGAAGTTTCTTTTGACCCAGCTATTCCCCTTCTTGGAATCTTCTCAAAAGAGTTAAAAAGTGTTGTACCACAGTGATGTATGCACAGCCACGTTTAATAATGGCTCAGTTAGGAAGAGCTAAATCTTGGAAACAATCCAAATGTTCATCAACTGATGAATGGTTACAGATGTGCTGGTTTTTTATATCTATAGTAGAGTACTACTCTGCCATAAAGAAGGATAATCTTGAGACATTTCTAGGTAAATGGGTGCACTTTGAGACCATACTCTTAAGCAAAATAAATCAGAAACACTAGTTTAAGCAATGTACTGTTCCTCCTATGTGAAAAAGCAAAAGCACAAATAAGGACCAAAATGGATGACAGATACTGAGAAGCAAGAAGAAAATGTTCAAATGGGAAGAGGGAGCTAAAGAT